ATTATGGAACCATTCATTCTTCATGAAGAAACTGTTTTCTTATTATAAAAATTAAAATAAAGTGAAATATAGGAAAATGTAATTTTTTATTTCCATACTTAGCTATTTTATAAGATAAGTAAAGCATTGTGAAAGCTTCTTTTACCAAACCTATCACTTGACCAATACTAGACTTTTACAACTGACTGCCATATTTTGAAGTTGACCTTCGATGTTCAAGATGTCTTTGTCACAACAGACATCAATCACAAGTTTTTTGGAATTTTACATGATCTATCATCACTATTGGCCGGGCCCCAACCAGATAGCTGAGGTTCCACTGCTCAGGGTTGGAATTATAGGGCCATGGTCCCTATATCCCATGCTGATGACTAGGGCATTTAGACTCCAATATATACATATACTTGTGAGTGGATCCCAACCTGTAGCTATAGAGTGATGGGTTCCAAGCCACCGGAACCATAACAAGAAGGTAAGCAACACTGAAGTGGACAAACTTTCTCTCCCAACCAAATGGGCAAGGTAAATTCTACTTATCTCCAGAATTATGCAGAGGATGTGGAACAAACTGTGCTCAACCAAGGACCCGGGCTGGGATCACTCTGCATTCGGGATTACAAGGAGACAATGGACCCTCTTACATAAACAATGTACTGAACCAATATTGTTCAAAAAGAAGGGCCATGCTCAAACCAACTGGATAGCCAAGCATCAAATCTGAACCAGTATTAAGAGTAGGTTCCCGTGTAGGCTGGTGCCTCTCCTACCAACATCTGAGAAAAAACATCCAGGATCCTGGGAAGGAGGCCCCCCCCCCCCAACTTCGCCCTCTTCTCCAAGAGTAGAGGATATTCACTCGAACACTCTGAAAAAATAACCTCTGTCCACCACACTAGCGACTGGAAACTTGGTGTGGTAAGGACTCCCTAGCTCCACTAGTAGAATATGGGGAGTCCAGAGAAATAGTGCTCTGGAAACAGTGCAATAAGTGAACCTAGTTCCCTAAATATTTAAAATCAAACCGACCCCAAGTTATTCAATCTAAAGATCAGCAGAGATGGACAGGATCCCCTTATGCTTTACTCATGATAGTCCATGAATAGCGGTCTAGCACAGTACAGTAATAATAATACCTGGTCAGCCTCTAGGTGGTCTTATGGAACAACTCATTTCTACAGATCCTATTGCAACCTAGATAAAGTATATTGAATTAGTGGTTGTATGTGTGGAATTGGTTTGATAATAGCACACCTGCTTGGGCAACACTCACCAGAGAGTGAGATTCTATGAAAAAGAGGTAAGGGACCCTGGAAAGCAAAGAAGAGACGAGAGTAGCAATGAAAATACTCACTCTTTTTTATAATCTAGCGGATGTGGTTAAGATAGCTACAGGGGGGGTAGTCAAAACTCCTTAGATGAAGATACTGCCAGATCATGCAAATAATGTCAGATAAAAGCATTGGAAGAGGTTCACATACCAGCCTGACCAAAGTCCTCCAGCAGGCAATTCAACCAGGCCACTAAGGACACAGCAATGTGATGAATCTGATGAGATGTGAATTGCAGAAGTCTCCTCACCTACAAAGAGAGCCCAGAATAAAAAATATGGATCAACATTTGTATCCACTTCATCAGTGTAACTGGGGATAACTCCCAGGAAACTGAAGGATCCCAAAGAATAAAAAATCATTGTCTAGTACCTTTAAAGGCATTAGTGTGGGCAACAGAATACTTCAAGGCCCTCACTGGATATAACAAATGAATGTGGTCCGATCAGTCACAGAAGTGATAAATAGTGATCAGATGAATTGGGAAAAAGGATTTATCCCCTTCCCTGGCTGCCATTGTCTTAGGGAAGAAGAACTGGTCTGAGGACATAGGTTGAATGATAAAGTGTCCTGTGCATAATAAGTGACAACTCTGACCGGCAATGTCTGTAGGTCAGCAGCAACAAAAATTAAACCTTCAGAGAAAGGTGATATATGGGACATGAGGCTAAGGTCTCAAATTGATGTTGAGAAAGGGTATGTTGCCTATGTAATGTTAGGTTAGTGAAACAATCATTTGGGATGAAGGACCTGACACGATGTGAGGAAGCTGGAAAGTACTGGGGAGTCAAATAATTTTCTTCTCAAGTATCAAAAGGTAGTCGATAAGGCCATCTTATACAGTGTGATTGTGAAAGATGCAAAACCCTTGTCAAAGAGCCAGGTAAAAAAACGAGTTATGGTTGGCACTCCTGATCGAAGTGGGTTCAACCTCCTCTCAATACACCATTGACGATATGTATGCCATTTCCACTGATAAATGTCCATCATAGGACTAAGCAAAGAATGAGACAGATACATGGTAACTTTAGAAATTAAACCCTGAGGCCATACAAAGGACCACATAACCTCCATGTCTGAAGCTTGAACCTCAGGATATCTGGGTGTACAATGTCAGAGCATGGCTGTCTAAACAGAGATGGCTAAAGAAGAAATGGAAGAGGTGGGCACTCCTGAATGTACTGCAGAAGCAGAAACCAGGGCTTAGCTGCCATTCCAGTGTTCTCAAGGCATTTGAGCATGATAAAACAGTTATTAGAGAAATAAAACAGCATAAGCCTAATAACAAGCAGGGAGAGATGACAAGATAAACACCAAGAATAGCAGATGATAAAGTGACAAACAAAATAATGTTAAAGAACATAAACAAAGCATAAGGAAAGAAAAAAATCTGAGAAGGAAATCCTGAAAGAGATTGTAAGTTTAAAGCCATCTCACAAAAGGTAAAGTACTACCTAAAGCACATCTGGTGAAAGATGTAGTCCAATAGATCATTCCCAACTGTTGAGAAAACATTCAGCTGATAGAATGGAAGTAGGAAGCCCATTAAATAAGTGGTGATTCAAAACACAATAAAAAATGGTTACAATGATCCTGACAGTCAACGAGCTTCTAAAAGCCACAAACAAAATAAGGCCTAAGTGTGTACAATGTTATACACTCAGGACCAAATATATATATATATCTTCGTCCTTTGAGAATTCACAATAAAAATTAAAGCTTTTGAAACAAAACCTAAAGAAAATGAAAACCTAAGTTATATGAACAATGCAAATCTCATGTAATTGAACACAGAATACAGTGCACATGGAGGTGTATCATCCTCCTACTGGTGGATGGCTTTCCTGCATCATTACATCATCATGCAGCAGTGCAATTCATGTTAGATCACATGAGGTTAGGTGAGAGTTGCCTAAAGGCTAGTGGCATGTAAATTTCTAAGGCAGGTATGCAGGGAAGATAGTAGCATAACTGGGTGAAAAGGTGTGGTGTCTTCTCAAAATTTACTTTTTAAGTAATGGGACAGTACGAGGAACTACATGTAAATACCAACACAACATCCTACAATAGCTATTACTTAAACTTAAATGATATTGGATTTGAACTGTGGCAACTTGAAGAATGAAGCTAGCTTTCATTTAGTACACTAAATGACAAAAGTTTAGAAACTAAGTGCATGTAAGCATTAATCTAATCAAAAACACTTTAGGTGTGAATAAAAAGTGTGGCCAAACAAGGATTAAGTGTGGAATTTAAAGGAGGGAAATCAAAATTGGTGGTCAAACTGGTAGCTACACTTATAGCATTGATAAGAATTTTACAGTAAGTATTCATTCATTCATTTGTTACCTAGGCAACATTTTTTATTCAAATTGGTGTATGATGGTGGGTAAAACAAAATATGTGGCCTATTATTCAGAACGACCCATGCCTTACAGAACCAACCAGATTCTTTAAAATATATGGTGATAAAAATATAGTTTTTACTCTCAAAAAGTTTTAATAACTTCTTTTATAGTAATGCCATGGAAACTAGATTAAGAGTTTCTTGTCATCACATGCATGCACTCGGTACAGCCGTATCAAGCATCAGTATTTACGCTAACTGCTTAAGCTATTATCAAGTGATGCTAAACGTTCTTTAATTAGGAGAATTTCATAAAATTTATCAAATCTGTGCTTAAAAAGTTGGTAACGAATAATAACCATCCATCCCTATGATTCTCTGGAAAACCTGATCTAGAAACTGCTAATCTAGTTTGCTTGGTCTAACCAATATTTATGTATCTGCACGTACTTTCACCCTATAGTTTTGCTGCTCTAAATCAGCCGTCTTTAATCCAAGCGACAAAAAACTGTCCACCTTTACTTTTAACTGAAGCTGTAGTAAGAATTTCAGACTGATAGCTCACGACTTTTTTGCATGGGCACACACACAAACATTTTGGTCAAAATTGAGCAATATTTGCAGAATAACTTTGCACAAGTTGCTTATATTGAGACCAAATTTGACACCTAACTGTAGGTTGCAAAGATCTATCAGTGTACCAAATTTAAGATAAATCCATGAAACTATGTTTTTCTATCAAATAAAGTTTTCGTACTTTTAGTGCAAAGAAAAAGAAACAAAAAAAGGAACAAAATCAATCAAAATTGGAGATTTTATACCACAGGTATTTCTAAATGAATTGCCTTGAAATTTGGTATGTGAATCAAAGGTCCAGTAGAGTACATACACTGAAAATATGTGATAGTTTGGATTACCTCATTCTGAGATACAGCAAGTGGAAAATTTCTAAACTATCACTCCTGTTAATAACACACAGTGTGTCCTGCAGGTTCTTTTAGCTGCATAACACACTACTGTGTGTCTTAATTTAGTGCTTTGTACTTCAACAGTGTTACAAACAAGGTATGATGATAAGCAAGTACGTTACATTTTGCACCAGAACATAATAAACAGCTTTAAAGCACATATACATTACATACTTTACATAGACAGAAAAATGACATTTATTGTATAATGGTAAGAGACTCCAAAGGAATGGATGAAACTGCAGGGAGCACCTTAAAACACTTCATTGGACACCCCAAATGAATAATATTAAACAAAATACTATTAAATACTTTATGTAGACAGAAAATGTGTAAGAAACAAGTTTTTATTCTTACCTTCATTGTCTGCTCCTCTTGGAATGATAACATCAGCATACTTTTTTGTCTGTTGGTAACAAAAAAACTACTATATGGAAAGTCTTTGAAATCTCTAATTAAACTTTAAATCTGATAAAAGCAGCAATATCACCAATACATAATATTACCTAAAAAAAGCTTGTATTTACTTTCAGGTATTCTAACCAATAATTTGTGTAATGTCCATGATTATTGTATTGTGATATTATTGTTATTACTACACACACACATACTAAAAAGGTACAATTAGACAACCACATAAATTGATGAGGTGAATTAGCAAATAACATTAAAATAAAAATATAAGAAATACCATATATCCCAAAGTATATTTTGAGTTTACAAGACTGACAACTGTAAGTCTGAGTTGAAACACATTTTCTCCAGTATAACTTTTGTTTGAAATAAACAAAACTGACTAAGAAGCAGTTTTATAATGCTGCAGGAATTCCTTTTTTCTAGGTGCCTATTACTCTGAGGTTGTTTCACTTACTGTTTTCACTATTTACGTTATCAGAAAATTAAATATATTAGACTTGAAATAAAACCAAAAACCCTGTCACTTCTTACTTCTGTAAGCCCAGTGCCTCCCATTATGATATTTACCAGTATAGTGCAGGGGAGGATCCAAAAGTATTTGGGGGTGGTCCCAACAACCAATGAGATTTTTTTTTGAAGCAATAAGTTACTTTTGCAATAATCAGAAATTTGATCAGGGCCAATTTAAATTGTTATGTAGACACACAAACTGTATTTATGAACAAAATATACTATTTAATGGAAATAACGTAATACATGCATAAAGGTTTACACTTTAATCTGAATTAAAATCAAAACATTACTGTTTTACCACTTGAAAAATACTTTGGGAATTAAATAAAATCTATTTATTATGCATAACAGGGTAATTTCCCTGAACATGAGCAATGTTCTACATTTTACCCAACTCCCGATAAAAAGCAATTATCTTCCCACAGGACATACTTTACCTGCTAAAATAGACAGTTAATTTCCCAATATTATGTAGATTTTTTGTTTTTTCACAATGGCATCCTAGTTTGTGTAACAGTCACGTGATCAAGCACGTGACTATAGGTAATTGTACTGTGACAAGGGTGGTCTGGATATTTTTTCAGTTCTTGATTTGTTGATTAGTGCATATACGGAACTTAGGGGTTGTCCCGGGACCAAAGGACTACCCCCTAAAACTGCCAGTGTAATGAACCTTGCACATGTCCATTTAACAATGATCAGCTTTGTGCTAATCCACACAAGAAACACTTATGATAACGTTTTTACTGAAATCACCATTTCAGATAATCACTGGCATCAATCTAAAAATGAAATATGCTATACTGATAAGACAGGGTTTCTAATAATGCCATGATAATGAACTAATGTTCTTTTTATATGTTAAAGCCCTAAAGTTTATACAACTTGTTTCCTTTAATAATTGTAAATTGAAGTTGTAGATTTTTTCAAACTAAAATATGCATTTAGATATTATTTAAGTATTATTAGAAATATTTCACATAGCCCTAGTTTTATTGTGCTTTATACATTAGAATCTACATAAGCATTTAAATATTTTGCTATTGTAGTCCTATTTTAGTTATGGGCCTGGCATGGCCTGATGGTTAGGGCCCATGACTCGCAATATGAGGGTCTTGAGTTTGAATCCCCATTGCCAAACATGTTCATCCTATATAGTTGCCATATAGGCTGGCCAATTGGTTGTAAACATTTTTGGCTTCAAAATAACATTACTGGCTGACCCCAAACTAGTTGGGATTAGGGTCATTACACAGAATAAACCCTACTGTAGTTATATCTGCTAATGGCACTTTTACAAGCATATATGGTTCATCCTTCATGACTGAAGAGGACCATCTTCATCATCATCCATTGATTTAGTGTGTTTGGAAGTGACTGATTAGCCTGATCCAGGCTTTAAAATGTCTGGCACAATGAGGGCAAGACAGCAGGTGGGCTGGTGGGTTCTGATGGTTGCTTCCTATTGCTTTATGTACTGCATGCTTGTTCTGGGCTGTCAGGATGCGATGTTGATCATATCTGGCCACTCCCTTTGTGACAGCACTCCTCTGGGCTGGGCAGTTTTGGGCAAGAGTTTCCCAGGTATTGGGATCAATGTTGCAGTCCTTTAGTACAACCTTGAGTGTGTCCTTGTAGCTCTTCTTCTGACCACCATGGGAGTATGCTCCGGTCCGTAGTTCACCCAAGAAGATGCATTTGGGAAGGTGCTTCTCTGGCATTCTGACAACAAGGCCAGCCCAGAAGAGTTCTGTCTTCCTCAGCTGAGTGTGAATGCTGGGCATGTCAGACCTGTTTAAGATCCTGGTGTCAGAGACCTTGTCTTGTCATTGGATATTCATAAGTTTGCGTAGACAGCAAAGATGGAAGCAATTGAGTTTTTTGGCATGCCATTGGTACAGTCCATGGGGAAAAATTTTGTTTAAAGCTCTGTCTATCCATATATATATATATACACACTCATAATATTTATAAATTAACACCATCATTGACTTATACCAAAATAAAACATATCTCTAGGAAACAGATAACCACCTAATATTTTATTTTGCTCTGTCACTAGTCAAGAAAAAATAAGTTTGAATCAAAACATTTTCATTATATGCTACATTACTTCACAACTGACATAATAAAACATTATGGCCCCATAAAACATCTGTTGAGTTGTACAGCACCAAGTATGTCAGCATACTTCAGATGAGCAAGAAATTATCTTAGTCAAACATGTTTCTTTTGTTCTCATGCATGTTATATTAGGAAAGAATAATGAAATTGTACACATTAAATCATCCACCACAATCTCATAATAATGGTTTACAAAACATGTAAAAGGAAACCTTTGTTTGTTTTTGAATTTCGCGCAAAGCTACACGAGGGCTATCTGCGCTAGCCGTTCCTAATTTAGCAGTGTAAGACTAAATGGAAGGCAGCTAGTCATCACCACCCACTGCCAACTCTTGGGCTACTCTTTTACCAACGAGTAG